ATACAATCTGTAATCTTAACTGCTCACCTGAAAGACAGAGGGATCTATGGCTATCAATCAGATTAGTTACCAGAAACATTGTTAGATATATGAACACTGAGTAGCTGAATGGCATTGCAGAAATGGAGTATGTTTTAAACAGTTCATTTCATCTGTGCTCGTATCATTTTTCCTCAAAACCCTATGATCTTTAGAAAGAAAAGCTTGGCATTTTGAACTCTGATAAGCAGTCTGTGATTTGAGGAAATACTGTGATATGGCAAATTTAGTTTTATATTGGGAAAGATGAGAAGTGAATATTAAAATTGAGGCTTTGTCTGCATGAATCACAGAAAATAAACTAGTCTAATGACTGGAAACTACTGTTTGCAAACAGCCTTGGAAGTTTTGTAATGTTTCCGGTAAGGGTTTGCATTTCCTTGTCAAAATAAACTCAACCTTAACTAGAAATTAACTAGTTGGTTGGTAAGTTTCAAAACCTGTAAGGAACCAGAGGGCTCTGGAGGTTTTCGTTGTCTTTTTTTAAGACCTAACAGAGCATATGTGTTTATTCAAAATTAATTCAGGAGAAAAAAAGAAGTGATTCCATATGTTCAATTTTCCTTTCCTAAAGGAAAGTTGGTTTCCTTTTTAGATCTATTTGGCTTTAAATCCTGATTTTATCAATTAAGTAGCATTTAGACATTCAAAATACAGCTCACATCCCAAGTCTCCAAGAAGCGAGTGGATGACCTTTCTGTTGGCAGAAGTGCAGTCCTCTATTTTCATGTGTGCTGGAAGTTGAGATGTTAAAGTGCAGACAAATCTTTCCTGAACATAATGCTGGTTTGGAGTATGGGTTCAGTCTTGCAGCAATACAGTTTGTGTAGAGTGTTTCATCTGAACTGTGACACTTGAAGTGGAAGTTTAAGCATGGTGGGGGGTAAATGCTGAACAGCCTTTGTCTGTATATTCTACATATGTCATATGGATTCTATCAGGCTTGATGCTAAACTTAGTGATACCATATACTGGGAACCAAATTCTTTCCTGGGAGGTGTATTGTGGAATTCCTGCTCAAAACTGGTTTTGATCTAGGGATACCAGCACCCAGATGCGGAATTTGGACTTGAGTTCCTATAGATGAATCTAGTGATTTCTTTGCTTTTCCAGAGTGTCTTTTGGTTTTATTTTTTTAAGATGTTGAAATATGACAGAAAAAGTGTATTCTGGCTCATTATTTTACATATATTTTAGATTGTCTATTACATGAGTGATAGTGATTTTCTAAAAGCTTATTACACAACTTCTCAGATCAGTTTAATTTTTTGCCCGCTCTGCATGCTAAGAATGTCTGGAGCTAAACTAATGTTTTAAGCAAACCATCTTTTCTCATATTCATGTTGGAGGAAAGTGGGGAGATAACCATCTTTTCTGTTTGTGTTCTATAAAATGACTATTTTTGTAGCTAAAAGTTTAGTTGCGGGATTTCAATCCCACACAATGTTGCTTTGTGGCTATAAAATTCCCTGGGTCCGCTATTTCAAACAGTATGTGTATAATAAGTCCAGTATGAAATTAAACTAGTAAAACACACTCTTCTGCAATTTGTTATTGAAAATATGGCAAACTATTTTGGTCCAAGACTTCAAAACAAAATAGAGAAAATAAATGTAACTCTTTAAGGTTTTTATTCCTTGATGCTGCTGTTTGTTTTTTGGAAAGGTGCTTGCAGTTTTGCACAGAAGAAATCAACTTTTATTAATTGCTGGGTTTGAAGCACTTTAGGATTCTTCTAAATACAGCCAGTATATAATGTAAGAAGGAATGACATGAAAGTTTAATGTGTTTAAATTTTGGTTGCCATCTTTGCTATTCTGATGGATTTGATCAATGTGTTCCTTTAAATATAAATCTGTTTTCAGAGATTTGAAATGAGAAATCTTTTTAATGGGCTGAAATTTAACACATAGTAAGAGATCATTTGAGAAACATCTTGTACTCACACGCCCGTAGGTGACTTGAATAGCAATGTGACTACCTAACCATTTATTAGATAACAAAACAACAAAGTTACAACAGTGTGTGTTCCTACAGTGAGCTCAGATAGCTATGAGCACTTTTTCTTCAACAAAAAGCTTTTTATTACCTTTAGCTACACATCATAAGGTAGTTGTATCTGCTGTGGTGAGGCCAGAACATCTGTTTATTGGGACTCCACTGCAGTAGATGCTGTACGAATATACCACAGGAAGACATTGTCCCTGCTCTGAAATGTTAGTCCAAAACCCTGATGCTTTCCAGGGTGTACTTAAGCAAATTCCTGTGTATTTGTTTCTGTAGCTCAGCACTCTGTAGTTTCTTGGTGTAACAAAAGCAGAGAAAAATGTAATCGGGTAAGAACAACATTTTGTGTTCACTACCTGAAACAGTCCTATTTGTTACTGATAACAAAGTGAATTTAATACCCGTGAGCATATGCTAATGTGTTGTCTTCTAATGGGGAAGATCTTTTTTGAGAACCCAAGCGTGTCACATAGTTTTTCTATGAATTCAGATGCTTAAATTGGTGCTAATTTTTTAAAAGAAGATGTAACAGATGGTTAGCAGTGTATTTGTCTGTTTTTGATACCTATATTTTCTTAAGTGGTGGCAAGCCAAACTTTATAAAAACGAACCAATGTGCATTTTCAGCTTCGTCAGATTCCCAGATTTTCCTCAAGTAAAATGTTTAAACATCCACGGTAGTTGCTGCTTCTTTGGAGCTATTGCTTTCAAGTGTTGTGTACACTAATAAAATGAACACAGTTAGAAAAGATAGCAAAGCATCACTGTCCTTTTCTTGAAGTTACATGGCGTGTTGGGTTCCCCATGTGGTTTTAGTAGCTTAGTGTAATCAAGGTATCTAATTAAAAGCAAGTCACAGATACCATACCTGTGTGCAGTTAACTCAGTGCAGTGAAGCCTTACCTGGTCATTAAGATAATGTATAAAGATTATATAAATTTTCATCTATTTTGAAGAGGGAATAACAAATAGAAATAATTACCTGTTTTCATACAAATCCCAATGTTAATTGCAGAGAATATATTCCATAGTGTACTCCAGAACACGTGCTATTAAAGAGTAGAATAGGCTCCTTGAGTCATTTGTTATGAAATACAGTTTTATCAAATGACTCAAAATAACCCCCCTCCAAAAATCAGTTCTTTGAGAGTTTCTTTTCAGATGCCTTCAGGTTTTAACTCCCTTTGGAATGCTTTCTATGGCTCGTTTTGGCCTCCCTTTCCCACCTTCTGTTTACCAAATGTCACAAAAAGTAGCATCAAGCCCTATCACTTATTACAGTGTTCTGATTTTATGGCCTTAATATTAGTTACAGTATGGTATATAATTTCAGAAGAAAGATGTGCTTTGAAGTCTAATTATATAGATACATGTGGCCTCTTTTGCCTATGAAATTAGGCTTTGATTGTCATATCTCATTCTTGATGCTTGTGCAATAGGAACATGTTCCTTTCAATGCAGTGGCTATTTTGTCTGATGCTGGATTTTGTTTTCAGGATGACTAGAAAGTGTTTTGAGGTTTGTTTTTCTTTATCAACAGCAGTTGTGCTTCCTTGGTTTTTTTGATTGATTTTCTTCACGGAAACTAGAATTTCTTCAGGAAAACTGTCAGTAACTACTTCTGAAGTTCTACTTCAAGCCTCATTCTGAAGCTTTGTGGTTTTTTTTCTCCAAAACCCTTATTGTAAAACCGTACTAAAGCCACTGTAAAATGACAAATAAATATGTACACTTCAAAAACATGAGCAGTCTGTCTCATTTACTGTACTTATGTTCTCTTTTTCTTGATTCTTCCTGTGTTGAAGTAGAATGTTTTCTGTACCCAAAATGGTGTGTGCTCTTAGTTACCCTAAACCATAAAGTTTCAGTTGCCACGTTAGCTTCTATTTAACCATAAAGTAAGTATTGGTATGACAAGGGAATGAAGAACAGCTTTAAGAGGTGGCTGAAGCTGCTTTCTCCTGGAACATTTGGAGACATGAACAGCAGCTGGGTTTACAGCCAAGTGTGGTTTGAAATTTTGGGGGTTTTAAGTGACAGAATCCTGCTTGCTAATACTGGCAGATCAGTATTCCCATCCATGTGCTTCAGCATCAGATTGTCAGACTTGTTGCAAGTTTCAGGTGAGCTACTGTATATATATGTGTATACACACACACACATATACGTTGGAAGACTTTTCACCTTGTGCTTAGACAATGTTGTGTTTCATTTCATTTTCACTGAGCACGGCAGGGGTATGTGTAACTTGGAAAACATAGTTCCATTGTGCTCACTTTGAGGAAGAGGTGAATACTCTTGCAGAGACAGTGATGAGGTTTCCAGGCCCTTTACAAAGCCTTGATCAAATTGCTTTTGAGGGAGGTTTTGTACCATTAAAGGAAGGGTTCACATAGCTGCCTGTCGAGACACAGGGCAAGGGCTCTCAGCCAGCCTTTGGCATTGTGAAAGCCTCACCTGTGACAGTCTGATGAAATGTTTGCAGCAACATTGGTATTTCTGGCGTGGAGAACGTGGAAGTTTTTCCTCTTTGTATGGGGCATTGCAACAGATGATTTGGATGGAGCAGGGATGCCTAGGAGATTGCAAAGCTCCCCTGTATTTGGTGATAGGATGGCTTTCAGGTTGCTTCTTCAGCTGGAGAGGAAGATCTGTTTCATTAAATAGTGAACAAAAAAGCAGGATGATGATGTGTGTGCAGGGAAGTACTTTACAAAGCATTATCCAAGTATATTCCTTGCCTTAAGCCGTATCTTTTCTTTGGATTTCCTATATAAATTTCCTATATATATTATTTATAGTACTTGGAGTTGGGAGGACCGGTGAAGAAAGGTAAGGAGAGATGGAACTGATTAAACAAGGCCTCAAATAGTTTTTGAGGCAAGTGGGACTCATGAAGATAGACTTCTTTCATAGCAATGAGGTCTCACAACATGAATTAAAAAAGGGCAGGGGGGGGGAAAGATGGGAAGAATATAAGTGCCTGGAATTCAGGTTAAAAAACTGTTCAGTTCTCCATTACTTGGTGCGAAGGTAAGGTGGCAAAGAAACACATTATGGTTCAGTGATGCACGTGTGGAAACCCCGCAGTGCATGGAAGTGGTTGGCCAGCATGTCCTTCTGAGTGAAGGAGCTGCAGCATTGCCCTGGGCATGGAATAGGGGAGCGCTGCTTCCCTCCAGGAGCCTCCTGGGATAAGCCTGGCCTTTTGATTCACTCCTATTTGATCTTAAAACAAGCTGCTTGCTCTTCTCTGGGGAAGAAGAAACACATCTGTGTGGTTTCTGCTTATTCATCATGAGCTGGTTTAGTGATACACTGAGTTATCAAGTACGTGGCCACGGTTGCATTTAATCTTAATGAAGAGCAAATAATGAAACACACTTTATTGTCATATATAGTACAATTTCAAATACAGGACAGGTTAAAGAATACAGGTACTATTGCTCATGTTAAAGTTCTGCAGTGGCATAAAAGAACATGGTTATTAATATTTAGCTGTATATGTATCATTAATGCTGGTATCAAAATAGTTAACACATTTCTCATGTGGAAAAAGGTATCTCTGGGGGATGGGAGGGAGGGAGCCTGCCAGTGGCAGTTTTAAGACTAATGCGTTCCTATGGGAGTCCTGTAGGGAAGCTGATTATAATCCAGAGGAACAAATGGCCTTGTAAGAGCCCTTCTCATCCATAAATTAACATCCCTTCAGTGAGAGCACAGGAATGGCACAACAGCTCTGCATCCTGGGCACATGACCATATCAAAGTGCAAGGGGGAGATGCAGCTGTGGTGTCCCACCGTTCCTCTGTACTTGTCTCTGAAACAGCTGACTTAAGGATGCAGGTATGAGCTCAGCATTCTTGTAGCCCATGGGACCTTGGGGTGGCTGGTAGAACACACTCCAGCAGGCACAACATCCCTTGATTAAAACCACTCAGTCCCTTGGGCATTGAGCGCACGGGTACAAGGCTTGAGGCTAGATGAAAAACATCTATGACGAGTCCTTCCCCAGCACAAGACATGGGCTGGCTTGGGAGCTGGTAGTGCAGTGTCTGAAAGATTTTCCAGTGCTAAGAGAAAGGATCCCTGGCATTAGCAGGGTGGAGCAGAGGGAGTCAGCATCCGAATGAGTTTGTATCAACTGCTCACTTTGTAATCGGCAGCCTAGTTTTTGCTGTTGGGTTTCTTATATTGCCTTTGGAACAGGGGAGTCTGCTGAAATCAGGAGGTGGCCTTTCTACAGCTCAGCTCCACGTCGAACTGAGCACACCCCTGTTCATTTCCATCTGTTGATTTCCCCAAAGGTTTCAAAAAACTCTTCCATCTCTTTCTGGAGCATTTCATTTCTTTTCTCTGCATCTTCCTTTGCTCTCTCCGCGTTTCGCATTTTCATCTCCACAAGGCTGTACCACTTGCGCTGCTGTCCCAGTTTCGAATGCATACCCTTAATCTCGGACTGCAGCTCCCTGTTCCGCTGCTCCAGGCTGTTGGGAAGACACACACTGTAAATTACAGGCTTTTTCCCCCTCCTCTTTCTTGATAAAGCTTTTTTAAAGCAGCGCTTTTTAACATACATTCCCATAAATGCAAATGTTGGAATCCCTAATTCTTTTCCAGTTCATGGTGTTATGTATTAAAATAAAAGCTGCCTTTTTAGTTATCCTGATTTATAATATATATAAATGCCATATAGCCAGAGGAGTCAGTTTTGGAGTTGGTTGTTTTTGTAGTGGAATACTACAGTAGTCAAAAGGCAAAGGCAATGCAACATATTTTAGGAAACACTCAGGATATTGCTTATATTGCATTTCCCTTGAACTGCAAAGGAAAATATAAGCAGAATACAGCAAACAGACAATAAAAACACTAAAAACCTGGGAAAAGTTCTTTGACTTCCTTTACTAAGAAGAAATTGAGGAATACTTCAAGAAATTGGATCTTTTTTCTTTACACAGTATTCATGTCAAAGTGTAATCCAACAGAACCCACTTGCCATCTGTTTTAACGATGCATGTTGATGCATCTGGTTTTATGTCAATTCACATGACGTATTTGTAACTTGTAGCTAATGAACAATATTATAATGTTCATTCCTTTTAAGTGCTCACTAAAAAAGCAGCACTGTTAGGAAAGTGGAGCTTGGAAACATTGCTGCCCTTTTTGCTTCAACAACACGCAATGGCTAAATCTCTATTCAATTTCTAAGATTAGAAATTGGGAGAATACTTACGAGCGCTTTCCTCAGAGCCCTTTAAATTCCTGGCTTGCAATTTGTAAAGAATGATGACTTAGTGCTAATGCTGCTGGGCCACCTGTGTGCTCTTCCCTGGAGAAATGCTCAGTATTGGATTAAGGCAAAAGGGAAGAACACACAACAGACCAGAGGCTTTTCAAAGGGCTTTGCTCAGCCCTGCACAAAAAAAACTCTCATAGATGCTCTGGAGTTTCTCAAGCACTTCACATGAAAATGAATTCAAATAACTGAGTAACTGCTGACCTAATCTGGTAACACTGGATTCTGGTGACATTCACAGTGCTATATGGAGGCTTTGACTGCAGCAGCATCCACACCCCCTGCTTGTGGCTAAGGACCCCGTACACAACAGGAAGAGATGGCTCCCCTGAAGGCTCATAGTTTTACAGATCCTATACCTTGCGATCTTGGATTCATACTCAGCCTTCTGCCTGGACATCAGCATCTTCAGCTTTGCCAGGTGCTGCTGTAGGGAGGTTGGGTTTGCTGGCGGTTCACTGTCGCTGTTGTCCATGGGGACGTGTCCTGTGTTTTCCTGATCCCGCAAAGCAGGGCTTACAGCTGCGGTGGTTCCTTGGGAGGCTTCTGGGTGGGCAAGGCTTGTTAGGTATCTTGAAGGAGGACTTTCCTCAAACATGGTTAGTAGTGGGAGCCTGCAGAGTGTGCCCGGCCAGTGCCACCAGTCAAAGCCTCAATGCCCTTTCTGTTCTGGAGGAGACCTTGTTTCGTGTCTGTCTCGCTCAGCCTGGTCGCGGGCTATGAGAGTGTTCTTCCTCCCCACAGCTGCTTGAAGCTTGCCAAATACTTGGAAATCGTCCATTTTGCTGGAGCCCGGATCTTGTTTCAGCCTCCAGCTTTGCTCTCTGTACACAGCAGGTTGAGGGCTTGAGCTGCTGCTCCCCTCTGCTGCCCGCTCGCCTCTCCTCTATCGTCATGGCTGGGTTGCTCTCATCCCTGGGAGCTACTATTGCTTTCCTTCACCCAGGCTGTTCAGTGTAGTTTGCCTGACCTCTGTAGGTGGCCCATTTGATAGCCTGACTGCTTTCATTGCTGGGCTGGGGCAGTGAATCCTGCAGCCCTATCCCGGGGCTGTGCAGGGGGGCACACGGCACCCGCTTTGGCTGCAAGGACAGGGCTCCCTGTGTTCTCCTTCGCACGCATTAACAACGAGACGTGTTCCAGCTGGTTTGGCTGCCCTACATCGAGCTGGTCAGGCGTGAGAAAAATGACATGAATGTGAAATGGCTGATTGTGTCCCTTGTGCATCCCCTGTGTCTGCTCTGGAGAGCAAATCACAGCGCTGCAGGCGAGGGAGGCCGGCTCCTCCGGTCACGATCCTTCAAGGACAAGAAGCTGGAGGTTAAGGAAAAATAGGCCACATCAGCGGTACTTGAGTTCCTCTTGGGAAAAGCTATTTGATGTGGATAAATACAGAGTGTTTATTTTAGCTGCCTGTTCTCACAAGAGAATCAAGCGCGGTACAGAAATAGCTTGATGATAAGTAAGGAAGAGCAAGCGGTGCACGCAGTGTAAATGCATAGCTTAAAAATTATGGAGCTGCTTTAAAATCAGCTGCAAAATTGTTTCCTCTCCCCGCCCCCACCTGTTCAGTCTCATGGTGCAAGAGTGAAAATGAGCTTCTGAAGAAAATCTGGGGTGAGCACTATGCTTAAACAGCGCCTAAGGCTTCTGCGGGTGAGATGCTGTGCTGGAGGGAGGTGAGGAGAAAGCCACAAATCTGATTTTGCAGAAGTAATAAACTGATTTAAACACCCCCAACCCCACCCCCACCCCTGCAGTTGCTCTTAACCTAGATTTTTCCTGCAGAAAAAGATATTCCTGGAGTATTAATGCCCGTGCTTTACGTGGGTTCTGTGTCTATTAATAAGCTAACAGATGGCTGTAGTTTCTGATGAATCAGATTTGGTTTCATTGATTAATCTGTTTTCTCCCCACCCCAAAGGAGGGAGGCAGCAGCTGTGCTGACCTGCAGCTGCTATTGCAGGAATCCATCCAGGCATCACTGCCCAGCGGGAGGCTGGTAGGGAGCTGCTCTGTTGTCCCTAAGTCAGGATAAGGAATGGGACAGCTGAGGGGTCCCCATTTGAGGGCAGGCAGATAGGAGGACCTGACCTTCTCGGCCCCCTTGGCAGTTACAGTGCTGCATCAACATGATGTGGGTGAAATGAAGGAGGTCAGTGGGATGCAGGAAAATTGGGGACCTCTGGTCATAGCCACCAAGCCAATGTATTGAGGAGATGGGAGATTTAGGTTAGATATAAGGAAGGAACTGTTTGCTGTGAGGGTGGTGAGGCACTGGAACAGACTGCCTAAGGTAGCTGTGAATACTCCATCCCTAGCAAGTATTCAAGGCCAGGTTGGACAGGGCTTGGAGTAACCTGGTCTAGTGGAAGGTGATGCAGAGAGAAAATTGCTTCTTCAAGCAGGAGACTGCAGTGTGTGTCCTGCAGACCCAGGTACAGAAGGGTTTGTGCAGCTCAGGTAGCTTTCTATGGCATGGCCAGTGCTGACAACAGCTGATGTATCAGAAATCGCATCCCTGAGGTTCTTAGACAGTCCCATAGCATCTTTCATAGGGTGGCCACCAAGCTCCAGGTTGGGAACTCAAAGTGCATCAAAGCAACATCAGCAGTGTATGACAGCTGGACTCTCATCTCCTCTGTGCTTCCTCTCCTAATGATACCCTTGATCAGGCACAGCACCATATAATGCTGATTCACCCTCCCCTTCTGGATTTACATTTATGCATACACCACATTCTCCTTTCACCTTCCCTACGCCTTCCCAGGGTAGATAGCTTGTATTACTGTCCTGACAATTGAAAGGTCAGCAATGAAAAGAACTGTGTATTTTCTTGCCCCGAGGCATAGGAAGAGCTCTGTTCCAGGCTCTCAGCTTGCAGGGAGCTGGGATGTTTTGAGAAATGGTTTCTTATTTTGGACCGTTTTGGGATGGAGCTTGTGATCCTCTGCGATGCCCTCTCCCCCGAGCGCAGAGAGGCTGCCATGTGTGCTTAAACTTTAGCATGCTTGAAATAGTTCCTCCAGGCGAGCTGCGGGGTTCAGCCTCCCTCGGTTCTGGTGCTGTGCCAGCTGCCTGCTCCCCTGCATCGCCTCTAGAGGGGACACCGAGTACCCTCGCTTCACCACTGGGGGGGTGTCCGTGGCGCTGTGGACAGAGGAGGTGCGCCTGTTCCAAGGGGGATGTGAGTTTGCCCCAGGGACATGCGTGTTTGAGGGTACTGCTGTGATAAAAGCTCTTCACTTCCATGACACAAAACCTGATGATGATTGGACTCTGGCTTCGTAAACCAGGTTTTATCAGTGCTTTCACCTCTCCAACCCGGTGGTAGAGATGGGCTCATCTGCCAGCAAGGGAGAAAGCAGAGTGATCTTCACACAGCTTGCAGGGCATCTCCTCAAGCCAGCCTCAACCTTAGTGTGTTAAAGTAGCTCCATGTAGTGTGTGCAGGCAGCCAAGAACTGCCCAAAATGCACTATGGGGTGTATGCCAACATGGTTGGGTGGGGGAACACCTGAGAACCAGCACTCACCCTGCTCTTGCTGAGCCCCTTGTGCAGCTGGGCTGGAGATTGTGTCCTGACGTGGGGAAGCATCACTGGGGGGATGCTGCCCTGCTCAGCAGGAAGCAGTCGGAGCCGTGTCTGTGATGCCAGCATGGATGGGTCTGGGGTTTCATCATTTCAGATGTGCTTTGGGAAATACATTCTCTTTGCTGACAATGACACACTTGCCCTGAAGTGTCCCTGCTAACTTGATGTAGTTTATAGTTACAATGAGCTGGGTTAGGCCCATACATTTGTACCAGTTTGCTTGCACACTTTTATCCGGACTGAATTTCCACACTCCCTCTTTGTTGTAATGAAAGAAACAATCCTCATGGACTGACCTTTTACAGAACGATTTGTCTTGGGCTATGTTTGGAAGCCAGAACCCAATAAACAAGCATGAAGTGGTTTTTGTATTAACAAAACTACTTGTAGTCAGCGTTGTGTATCTAAACTTGAATTCATTGCAATCTTGGTTTGCTATTAATGAATTGAAAGGTTTTCCCCTTGCTGGTTTTTTCAGCCTGGACTTCCATCATGTTAAATGGTGACTCTTGTAGTCTCAGCTCTTATCTTCCTCTTGCACTGGAATTAAAATCAGTTTCCTTTACTTCTCTATTTTCAAGTCTCATTTGGTTTTTCTGACTCTGAATGACCCATTTACTGTGCAAAGTATGGGGAATAAATGGAAACAAGGAAAATGTTCTCTCTGCACCTGCAGAAAGAGGCCCAAGATACCTCAGTCTTGGCTGGGACAGGCTCTGGTTCCAGGTGCTTACTGACTGCAGGAGTCTGAACTCATTTAAACTGCTGGCAGCAGTCCTCTGTTGGTTGATAGCAATCTCTTTGCACAGCGAAACAGCAACACAATAATAAAAAGCAAACCTCCATAACCTGATTTTGAGAGCTAATTAAAGTTTTGATCTTTGTTTGCCTTTTTATGGTGCTTGTTCTTAGTACAAAGGTGTTGCCACATCCCAGCAGAGAAGGAAGAGAAGTATGGCTTGATGCCTGAAGAACCTGAGCTTAAAAAGCTTTGGGGCTTGTCGGGAATGTTGTATATCGCCCTGTCTGCATAACCTAATGCTTTGTTCATGAATACAGGGTCTGCAGCAGGACTGCACCACAGAAGACAAGGAAACTGCTTGGAAAACAGAGCTGGAGCCTCCTTACTGTGACCCAGCAAAGGGCTGCAGCTGACTGCGGTATCACCCCCATCGCTGCCAGAGCCAGGTCATATCCCTGCAAGCAGCCACTACCCAGCTGTAACGCTCCGGGGACAGAGCTGCCCCGGGGCTTTGGAGTCCTTCCCGACGGGAGATGCTGTCAAATGTAAGGGGTTGTTGTTGCCAGAGAGCAGGAATGAGTGGGAAGGCAAAAATGACCTTCTTTTCTCTCCAAAGAACGGTAGCATTCATCCGCTTACCCACTAGGTGTCACGGTTGGGTCTGGGTTTGTGGTGCTGTGGCCGACGCTGCCTGAGCCCAAATGGCTCGAGAGGAAAAATCGCTCAATTTATTCATTTTGGTGTCAGTTTGTGACCAACATCTTACAAAAACAAGCTATAAATTAATTTTCATCTCTTAAACGAGGGCATAAAGGCTGTTGAGGGGGAATGGTTAAAAAGCAGAGGCTCCTGGCAGGAGAGGGCACTGTGCGCTTTGCTATATCCAAGGGAACATGTGTTAGGATGAGTTTATTTTAGGTGGGATGCTGTGCAGTCACAGACCGACCACCCCATTCCCGTTGTGGTGACACAGGCCCTGTGCCACGGGGAAAGGCTCCTGAGGAAAAAGCTTGTGAGCCCAGAGATGCTCCCTGCTCCTCTTCCCATCCTACCCTGGTTTTAGATTAAAGCCTGCTTTGGACATTAATGCTGGGTTAAAGTGGGTAGAGGGATGCTGATGGAAAGGGCTGGGAGAAGGCAGAGGAGCATGGGGAGAGATGAATCAGGGCTGCAGCGTGGGCAATATCTGCACTGCTCTTCCACAGAAGCATCCTCATTCAATAGATGCAGATAGCTTTCATCCAAGAAGATTTTCTCCCCCCTCATCTTTATTTTGTGTCTTAAACATAGTTTTCCTGTTTG